TGAATGCCTTTAAAATCTTATTTTACTGGGTAGTCATAGCATAGGCAGCCTTGCTAAGTGGGTGCAGAGATCCTTTCAGCAGTCACACACAGGAATAAGGAAGTCAGATGAAGCCCAGCCTTACGAGCTGAACGTTTGCAGCCACAGACAGACAGATGTTTATCTGAGGAGAAGTTTGTTCTGGCTTTTGTTTGAGAACTAGAAAGACAGTTTACACCTTCAAGCAAGATCAGGAATTAGATGCAATCAATACCTTCTGTAAAAAAAAAAATTTCTAACCTTAAATAGTCTGAAAGGTTGAATCATGAAGACCCTGGCATATTTTTAACAGAAGGAAATCTATTTCTGGAGCTCTTTGTGTGGCAGGGAAAGTGGAGGGTGTGGGCTTTGTTGAGGTGGAGGGGGAGCTCCGTTTCTGTAGCTCAGCATAGAGTTCTGATAAAGGTCCTGCATCTCAGGTTGGTTTAGTTCATCCAAAATAAAGCACTTCCCGATACCCCCCACACTTCCAGCTGGTGGCTGAAGCACTCTGTAAAAACTGGGACATTTCAGAGGTCCTTCTGCTACACTGGCAAGCAGCTGAACTGTACAACACAGAAATCCCACTGCCAGCAGGGCTGGAAATGTTGTAGGGCTGTTTTAATTCCTGGCTCACCACCTGGATTCATGGGGAGGGGGGTGAGAGTCATGGGGGAGGTTGGAGGGCTTTGTGYAAGTTGCTCATGTGGATTACAAACYGATGGAAGATTCACCCCAAGAAYTGTAAATCTGCCAGGAGCAGATGATGTGTTTGTCCTCTCCTGCAGAAAGATAAGGAAATAACAATGGCCCAGGGAGCCTCACACAACCACTCGTGGGAGCAGAATGATAGGGAGCAGACTGGGCAGAACCCTGATCACCATGTCCATGTTTCCTGTCAGAAACACAGCTGACGTGTTGTTGTCTTGGGCTTTGCTTCCCCTGCATCGCTCCTACCCTAAATGAGCCGAGGGCAGCGTGTCAAACAGGGGCATGCAGTGGGTTTGCTCACTCAGGTGCTGTTTCTGGAGGACAGACCCCTTTTGGGGTAAAGATGAAGCTTGGGGGGTAGAGGGGTGCAGGAGGAAGGGCATGACTCCAACCTCATCTGAAAACTCCCTTCTGGAGGTCGTGCAAGGCTGATCTCAGTTCTCAAACCCCAATATCTGGTGCAGGTCTTGTTCTGAGACACAAACACAGGGGAGTTTTCACGAGACAAAGACCAGCACTGATTCAAACCCGGAGGCAGGAGGGAGGTCACCCTGCAGYCCCTGATGGGCATCTGAAGGTGCTGGGGAAGAGAAGAGGAGTGGCTGGGAGGGACTGCTGGCCAGCTGGGCTTGAAGCCACGGAGGAGTGAACAAAGAGAGCAAGGTGCTTTTGGTTTCTTCTTCCACAGAAAATCCTTGCTGTAGCAAAGGAAAAAGAGAAGAAATGTTTTCAGCTATGAGTGCTTTCTCCTGTGACACAGGAGAGGGAAGAACTGCCAGGGATCTTTGCTCTCCCTGGTTTCACATGGCAACATGATTGCAAAAAAGATATTTCAGCATTCAGGGTTTAATGAAGCCAAACTCGATCAGGAGACAGTTAATTTTTTTAAGAGTTTAGCTACCGAAATGAAACTGTCTGAAGAGATTGTTTTATCGTCATTATAACTGAGCAAATAATTCACAATAGATAATTTATGAGCTGCCTTTTGCCTCTGCCTCTTCATGAAGTGATTAGATGGTGCTCATAGCATTCATTAGTCAAAAATTTTAAATCTATTTCCTGGGCTAGGTCCCCTCACGAGCCTTAAAATTTGGCTGCATTTCAACAAACCACTGAGTGTCTCCAGCTTTCTGCCCATGAGCAAGGCCACTCAGCTTCCAGAGGTCAAAAACAGGTGAGAGCTGCCAGTAGGTCAAGGCATGGAGAGGAAATGGGGTTCAGGCAGGCAGGCTGGGGCACTGTGGGCTCAGGCCAACTGAATTTTGTGAGTTGTGCTGGGAAATGTAACCCAATAGGACACAGGTGCCTGGAAGAAAAAAATAACCAAGCACCAAAATCCTGCAGTGAGGGGCATCACTTACACTGAGCCAGGCTGAGACTCRAATTTTTGCCATCTCCCCCCAGCAAGAGCCTTCTCACACACACACAGTGTGCACCGACTTGCAGGAATGTTTGCCAAATAATAAGCAGCATGAAGGCAGCCAAACTGCATTCAGGAACAGGCAGACAGTCTGGAACAGAATTCACTCCATCTTCTTTGTGGCCAGGGGAAACATTGCCACAGGCAGCATTTTATTAAAAATAAAGCAGGAAAGAAAAAAAGCAAGCAGGAGTGAGAGAAAGAACTAAGGAGTGGGAAATAAATCAATCAATGGAAGCAAAAGAAGCCCTTGGGCCCCAGTACAGCTGGCTTGACAAGAGGACAATATTGCAGGTGCTCTACATGTGGCCGTTTCTTTCCAGGTGCATTCAGAATAACAATGTCTTAATGCTTTTCTATTTCTTTTTGTTTTCTCCACAGGAGCTGGGTCATGATTATTTTTTTCTTTTGTCATTCGTGTCTATTCCAGTAGCAGTTTGCAATATCCTAGAAGAGGATGAAATCTCCACTCTGCTGGAAATGATGTGAACTGGTAACACAGAGTCAGGCTGCACTGGGGAACTTCCCCATCCAGTCCAGACCACTGCATGTCTCAGTAGTAAACCCAAGGACTGCCTTCTGCAAGTCACAGCTGGAGCCTCCTGGCTGTGTACCCTGGTGATAAAATGCTGACCCACAGGCTAATTAAGAACTGCTTAGTAGGATTTAGAATACAATATTTAGGATAAGAAAGGCGGGCAAAAGCCTTAAATGAAAAGAAAAAAAATAAAATTGAAAAGATATAGGAATTTATTTCAAGGATATCATGTACTTCAAGACTAAAAGGTGTGTGGAATTTGCCTGCTACGTTTGTAAAAGGCATTTGCAACACTTGCTTGCTGTGTTGTGCCAAAAGGACTCAGACTTTGAGCCAGCATAAACAAGATGTTGGGGCCTGAAGACCTTGGCCAATACGTGGMCAGTGGTGGGGACTGCTGTGGGGTGGCCACTGCCACCAGCGCACCAGCACACRCTGGGGCCAGCCACAGGGACATTTGGCTTGCCAAGGCTCAGCAGGGCACTGCTGGAAACCACAGAGGTGTGGGCAGTGAGCCCTTGCATCCCTGTTGGGAAGCTGGGAGCTGCTCTGTACTTGGCAGAGGGCAGCTGGCTCAAAGGAAGAGCTGTCACCTGTGGCTGTCTGCCCGAGGGACACCTAAGGCATCTCTTTCCCAAATCCCTCCATTTGCCAGTTCAGACTCCATGTGGCCACTGAGCTTTGCACACCTGGCATTGGCTGTGTGTGTGACACTGCCCAGAGCACCCAGAGAGGCTGTGAAATCATTGCCATGCTGTGCAATCATTAAMATGCTGTGAAATCATTGACAAGCTCAAAATTCCACAAGGTCTTGAGCAACTGGATTGAAGGTGCCTGTTTTGAACGTGACCCTGGAGCAGATGATGAACAAGCACGGGACAGACCCAGATGGCCCTGCCAGGCTCAGTTATTCCGTGATTTTGCTTGACTCATGAACAAAGATGTGGGTGCCTCCACACTTGAAGGTTCCAGAGGAGATATTCAGTGTAGGCAGGTATGAAAATACAATCCGTGAAAAAAATGGTGATGTTTGGAGCATTTCAGATGAGATAGCTGGCACTGGCGGGCTATCTCAACCCCGTGAGATTCAACCCAAGTGACTTTCAAGGCAATTCAAAGAGTTCATTGTAGGAAAAGGCTTCTCCCTATTCTGGATGCTCCAGAGATGAGAGACGAACTTGAGTTGGTGTTATTTTATTTACTTCAATAAACATTTGATTTATACAAAACAAGACAAAACCCCCCTCAAAACAGTTTACAAAGCAGGTTAAGTGTTTGAAATTTTGATATACAAGAGTATATATTGCTCACATTCCTATTTCATACAAGATGTACAGGTGAAMTATTCCTTAAAAGAATAAAAATTTTCCTTTACATGTAGTGTTAGAAAACCCCATAAAAATGTCAGTATTGTCAGGAACTACTGATCACCATTCCTTGACCTTCTGTGTGGATGGAGGAAGARAAATGGGCCGTGACCTTCTACCTGCCTGGATGGACTCCCCAACCACATCTCYTACCTCTGCCTATGGCCCTGTGAATTTACAGCATTCCACCCCTACAGAATTGCCACATTACCCTCTGAATTCCACTGTAGATGTGGGGGGTTTGCCCCGCTCTGTTTAAATATTTCTGAGCAGTTTGGTTAAAATGCAAAAAAAAAAAAAAAAAAAAAAAAAAAAAAAAGCAGTTACAAAACCATCTCAAAGAAAGTATTTGCCATCATAAATCTTAACTCCTATTTGAATAAGCATGATTCCTATTGACTTGCATGGCAACATCTTTGAGAGAAATATCAATGTTTATCTGTCAAATGTGTTTAATAAATCACACCAGATACATCTGTCCAGGACTGGTTTGTRCTGGCTGAATTTCTAACTTGCAAGGCCTGCTGATGTGCCATGAGGAACAGAAAAGTGGATAAATCATTGTAAAACACCTAAAGACAAAAGTTTTAGCACTTATTAAACACATTGCTGTCATGTACACAGGCCCAATGTGACGTCAACTGTCTTAAGCATTTTTGGAACTGAAAGAATGTAAGCAATGTCTGAGGGATCCTTTAGAAAAGGTCTTTGTTTTTTTGCTGTTTTTTTTTTTTTTCTTTTTTTCCCTGTGAATTGCTGACTTGCTGAGGCAGCCCTAAATGCAAGCAATGCTGAGGTCAGGATATGCCATTAACCTATTGCTATGGAGCTTTCCCTCACCTTCAAGGTCTTTTTGCAAAAATAAAGGCACCAGCTGTTGTCTCTTACTTTAGAAGGCATGGAACAGCATCAGACCATGGTTTGTGTAGCAATTAGACACRCTGCACAGGGAAAAAAAAAAGTTTATTCTTACAGCAACACAATCAAGGTAAAAGAAAGGAAAAAATATAGTACTGTCCACACTCAGAATGTACAGCAAATATAAAACATCTGCTTGGATTGTTGCTGGCCCTGTCCTGTTCTGTATGGTTTGAGGGATGGGAGGAGGGGAAAACTCATCCTGCTGATGTTTTGCAACTTGTTTGCAAGCAGCATGAATTCAAAGCAATAAACAGACAACATTAATGAACTCCATAACAAAAAACACATGTGGGAAGGACCAAACCTCCTCATGCCTGTTCTGGGACATTTGGAGGACTCTGGGGTTAAGATGAGAGGGAAAAGGCATTCCWTGAGCCTCTCACAAATGTGCTGCAGACAGGACCATGTAAGCACAACTGCAGAGTCAAATTGGCCTGCCTGCTGTGAGACTGCTCCTGCAACTGTGARCAGCAGGATCGCAGCCAGGTGGTCACCACACATGCTTTGAAAATCACCTTCTTATTGCATATTRTTCCTATTTTTTGGCAGAACGCTTAGTGCACAATTGCTGGTGTGGTGCTATACCAGTCTCCCCAGGCTCCCTCCCCAAGGGGTGGAATATCTAATACACTGGTAATTTCCTGGAAGCACTTTTTTTAATAACTTTTTTTTTCCCCTGGACATGGCTGTTTATAGATATATAGATAGAGATATATATATATATATATACATACACACTCATTTTATAGATATATATGTATATATATATAAAAATAGCAATTTCATAGTTATATACAGGCATTAATAAAGTGCATAATGTTATTGGCTATTTTCAAATCTCATTTCCTGAGGAAGGGCTACCATTCATAGCTCCTCCTACGACATGGTGCYGGCTGCCAATGCTAGGGTACGACAGCTACTCCCCCAGCTTCGAATTCCCAGAATACATCTCCCTGCCCAGAGCTGGAGCCTAAAGGGAGTAGTGACAGCCTCAGTCCTCCAGGAAGCAAGTCAAGGCACTGATCAAGACTTCTCCCTTTGCCAAGGTGAACACGTGTAGGAGCGACTTCCCTCCGTTCGGAGCCCTCGGGCACGCGCTACTTGGCGGTGGTGACGGAGCCGTCTTCGGGAATCTTCTCCTCGGAGCAGCTCCTTCCCGAGAGSCGGTCGTGGTGCTTGAGCTCGCTGAAGCGCTCGGCCACGCACTGCGCCGTCAGCCGCGCCTCGGGGTCGTGGTCCCAGCACTCGATCAGGGTCTCACACACCATCTGGATGCCCTGCAGGGACACAGAGAGAGCAGCGTGAGCCTCTCTGAGAGCTGCTTCAGTGCCCTCAGAAATTTGGGGGTTATTTCAWGTGTGTCCAGGAGGTTCTTTATAGGCTCTGCTATTTCTGTCATGGGGACAGAGTTTTCTTTTTGTTTTTACAGAAATCCTTCTACAATATTTTCAGCACTTTAGTTGGTACTGTAATTTCTGGGCATGTGTTCTGATATGTGAAAACAAGAACAATGATGCTCTGGACTAGTGCTACAGAATCAAATAGAGTTTATTTGTTTATTTGTTTAAATATGATCAGAATTCTTGGAAAACATGACTTCCTGCTCAACCCATGCYTTGTGTGCCTGAATTCTGTTTGGGCTTTTGAAACAAAATTCTGATTTCCAGCAACATCAGGCTGCATGTTAGCTCTTTATGAATTCCTTGTGGACTATCTAAATCTATGTGCAAATATGGGCCACAGTCCCACAAACACTTAAACACGTCACTCACACTTGTAACCGTTTAACCTTCATTTCAATTCTGATGCGAATGTTTACAGGAGCAAAAAAGCAGYTGCATCTCTGTAATGCATTTTATAAACATGAGGTATTTGCCAGGAWACTGTGTTTTGCTTTATGACACTAAAAGCCCATTAAGTAGGATTTATCTTAAACTTATTTAAAAAGATARCATTTCACAACACTGCATTAATTGCATAATTTACCTAATTGGTGATGTTGACTGATGTCAATGCTAATAGCAGAATGTTACTGTCTGTATACAAATAACATTAGTTTTCTGCTGGCATTGAAATTACAAGCAGTAAATTAAATTAAATATTAAACATTAACTTGAAATCAATAGTGCAACAAATCTCATTAAGGGGGGTGTGGGGGTAATTGTAATATGTAAATCCATTCCAGAATTTTATCACGATGAATAATGAGTTCATTACAAAAACACAACTGCAGAGGAAGGAAATGAATATGGAAGAGCCATTACAGTAAGAACAACTTCTATGGAGTTCAAAGCAGATCCTCAGCTGCTGCAAACTGTCACAGCCCTGCGGAAACTGATGCATCACTGCATTTGAGATAGCACAATGTGAAACACTGAAGGGATTCAGGCGAAGGGAATTAAATCCACCTTCATTAAATGTTCTCTGAGTGTGTTATCAGGCATCCATTTCATGCCTTAGACTCTTAGCTGAATGCTGYTGGAGCCAGCTGTGCCCATTCTGGTGGCACACAAGCACACGTGTGTGGCTCTCCCAGTTGATGGGATGCCTTATGCTGGGGACAGATTGAGGTGTGGGTTTTATACAGAGAAGAGATCTCTGAAGTCAAATGCAGGACACCTAGGTCCAAATCCATGATCATTTTACTTGGTGTATAAACCCAGAGGTGATGAAATCCACAGTGAGTCCTACAGCTCTACCCCAGTACTTCAACCATGCAGCTCTCCCCACACTCAGCCTCGCTGTCAAGGGCTTTTAGTGCTGGTGGTATCAGATATCCAGATGTCCCTCAAAATTCAGCTTTCCTCCCTTGTTAAAAGCCCCTMCTCAATAACCCCACTCTTCACAATTGAGTACATAAGGAGTATGTAGTTTTCCTGAAGTCCAGGAAGGGCTGCACTCAGCCACAATTATTGGGTGGCAGGTGTTCTTGGCTGGAGAGATGATTCATTTTGGCCTCTCACTCCGTCTTTTTTAAGTGGATGTCAGACTGGCTTTAACTTCCCAAATAGAATGAAAAAGGGGGTGTTACATTGCTCTTGATGGAAATAGAGGAGGATCTTGGTTGCCTTGGATTTTAAAAATGTTTATGATACTTTTATTTTGTAAAGACCACTTCAGTAAAGACCACTCAGCATATTTCATTGGGAAGTGGAACGACCAAACCTCACTTCTCTGATATGATTCACATTTTATCTCTACTGGTAAAACTACTGGGAGCAAAGGTGAAGAAATCCATGCCTTTGGCTTGTTTCCATTCAGTTTTATCTACTAAAAAATCTACTATTGCTTAAGAAGTACAGACATGGTGCTCATGAATGGAGAAAGCTGACAAAGTGCTTTGTGATATGCAAGGGAAATGGGACTGCTAATGCACAACCTGAATAAAACCAGACTCGCTTGGTGAAGACTAATTCCATATTTCCTTAATCCTGTCAACAGCTGAGATACAACTGTGACTGGTCTTCAAGATAAAGGACTGAGATTTGCTTTCTCTGCCGAGGAGGCTGTAGCAGGATGCTTTTCCTGGAATGGGGTAGAACAACTCAAACAGCACCCTATTTGCAAAGCCACCAGTGGTGAATGGAGAAGGGGGTCAYGCKGCTTTTGGTGTTGAATAATGCTGAAACCAGCATGCCTCAAAGTTAAATACCCTGGTAGCAAGGTGAAGATGTGGCAGACCTGGGAAACCACCCAACAAAGGAATAAACAAGTGATATTAACAACTTATCCTGCTGCTGGGCTGACAGAGCTGGCCTGGAGACATTTGACCAACAGTCAATCATTTTATCCTGTGAAAGCCCAGTCCCAGTTTTTAACGACAGATTTTTCCAACATACCCCTTCTCAGAGTTTGTGTAGAGGTTCCTCCCCATGAGGAGTCACATGCCTCATGTTACCCCTATGCCTCAAGGCTACTCCTCGAAGTGAAAGAGATTTGCCTGTGGCTGTTGACATGGGTGGGGGACATCAATCTCTACTTAATAATTSGTTTTGCTACCTTTAGTACAGTTGCTTTAATATGATTTCTTCAATATTGCACCACAGTGCACTCTATACTCGTAGTTATAGCTCCTGTGCCGGTAGTACATAATTCTGATTAAGTTATTTTTGTCTATTCATTATCATAATAAATAATTGATATTAATATATCTGGTTTTCCATCCTGAATTGTGTGGGACAAAGCTGTATAATGTATAATGTATAATATATAATGGTTCAATTACACTTATATAATCCTTAAAACATAAATCTGGGGCTAAGACCAGATCCAGCCACACCAAGACTGAGAAGGAGTTTAGACTGCAAGGGAATCCTTTCTGTACCTCAYGACTCAACRTGAGGGCTTCTCTAATAAATTTTGTCTGAAACTCCCATTCTGCCCACAACAGGGGCCCATGTGTGAAGTTGTTTTCTTTGCCCTTTCAGAGCCTACACAGAGTGTGCTTTAAGGGCCTAATTATACTGTGGCTCTCTGGATGATTGTAAGATCCCAGGCTTCCAATGTTTCTGTTTTGATGGCTTTTAGATCACACTGGTGTGCAGCATGAATTCCAGGGATTTGGGGCAGGCACGGTGCAGGGAACTGTGGTGTCTGAACAGTGTCAGCACCAGAGTGTGACAGCAGCTCTGTGTGACAGAGCTCCACTCCACGCAAAGAGAGGTCCAGCCTGTTGGGCAGGGCTCTGGGCTCAGGCTCAGGCTCAGGCTCAGGCTCAGGCAGCAGCTCAATGCACAGTGCTGCAGGACAGTGCAGCTCCCAGGCGCTCACATGGGCTGCTCTTACCTGGTGGTTGAGCCAGGAGCTGGGGATCTCGGGCCGCCCTCTGTCTCTTAGCACATTGTCCTTCATGCTTTCCACACAAGGGTGTTCTCGCACTTTGGAGCCGAACGGGGGCTCGTACTCTTTCACTTCTGCAGAGAGAAGAAGCAAACACAGGGTATTTAACTGGGCTGTGCTGGTGCCAAGAGTGAAGGGAGCTGGSTGTTCTCTGAGGAGTAGGAGCTGCTGATTAGCTGCTCACTGCCACTGTTCTGCTTGACCAGCTCCAAACAAAGCAAAGCCAGTTGGCATTTTCAAAAATGTTTCAAATGTGTTTCTCCCACACACTCCCTCCCTCCCCTTTTGTTTCCTAGCCAACAAAACAATTCTCATTTAAACCCTTTAGTACATAATAATATTAGCAACAGTCCAAGAAGCAGAGCAATCTATGGAGGTTTGTGAGCCCTTCAATCTCTGCTGAGGTAAAACATGAAGAGAGCTGGTCACCCTTAGCTCTCCTGGAGTCCACACACACTTACTAGGTGAAATATAAACTGAAATCTGTCTAGGTCATGATAGATGTGACTGTGTAGATTGCTACTATGAAACAGTTGCTAGAAAAAGACAAAGATTCAGTTAAGGAGCAATGCCGGAAGCTGCCATACTGCCCTTGTTTATTCCTGAGCTGCATTCTTTTGTAAAAAGTAGTAGTCTGCTCTTATTTTAGACTCCCTTCCCAAAATGGATCAGTTTTGGCCTGTGATACAGGGGCACAGCTTTCTGAAGGAGCTGCTGCCACTCTAGTTTTTGTTTGCATGTTACGTATTTTCTTTGCTTTTCTTTGGAGAGAGAAAGGAAGAGGCAGACATATGGGACCTTTGGAGAAAACTCAAGAAATGTCTGAGAGCGGAAATATTATAGTAGATGCTGACACAGTGTAGAAAATGCTGTGGTTTCTTTGGGAACAGATGGAGACTTTACTCACAGGCCTAATGACTTGCTGGTATCAGATAAAGATTTATGAAGTTGGCTTGTTCTGCTGCCTCTTATTTCTTTCTAGGAATTAATTGAGGGCAAGAAAAACTRAAGTGTAATCTACAAAGCAGTCTGGAGAATGCAGGCAAGTGCCCAGATGATGTGTGAAGAGAGACGACTGAGCGGAGAGAAAAAACTCCGTTGCATAATGTCACAACCAAGTTCAACTGCAGGGTCCAGTGTTGCTCACTCCTCTCAAGGGGTAAAAAAAAAGCTTTGAGAAAGGTGATAATGATTAAAGGCCCAGAAGAAATGGGAAGAAACTCTAAAAATTGGCTTTGTTTACTTTGGAGAGAAAGGTAAGGATGGGGTCATACGATACACTACTGAAAATAACCAATGATCAAGGTAACACAGTTCAGATTCCTCTATCGTGTGTCATCATGAAAACAAGGTAGTACTGCAGGTAACTAACTTTGGACTTTTCTCCAAAACCTTGAAGATAGGCTGTAGATCTCATTCCTAAGTGATGGCCATGAGATGAAGACTTTATTAAGCTAAAGCTTAAAAAGAATAGCCAAGTTACAATAACAAACTTTTTGGAAGAGATATCAAACCTTGTGCTTCAAATGTCCAGTGTTTAGAGATTCAGCTGCAAACAACTGTGCAGTACAGCAGATCACCCCATAGATGCCTCCTGCAGAACTCTCCTTCCTTCTCCCTAGCCATCTGGTGCTGGCCACTGGAGAATGGAGCTGGAGAATGGCTATAGTCCAGAAATAAAACTCCTGTCTTCCAAGACCCAAGGGCCAAATTCGGCTTCACTTCCTTTCCTGTACAAGAAGGCATACCAGTTTCACTCACATTAATCTGAGTTTGAGGTTACTCAGCCAAAGTAAATTCACAAGACTTTAGCCCTAGAAATGAATTGGGAAATTGCCATCTTGCTAGTCAGACATGCAGCGGATGCACACTGATTATATTACACATACCTATACTTTCAAAGCTAACAAAAATATTGAAGTTTGTTGGCAAAATTTTAACTGCATGACCTAGATGGCCATTTCCTGCACCATCTCCTTCAGTCATGGTTTGGTCATGGCAGTGGCCATGGACACCAGCCAAGGCTCTGAGATGCTGCAGTGTGAGGAGTCAGTCTGAATGTCCAGCAGAGGGAAGCTGGTGCTGTGGGGCTGACCTGTTGTTCCCTTTCACAGATTTGATTTGAAGGTTGCTCAGATTCAGGTGGGAATTGATAGGTTCATAATATATTTTCCCTGTTTGAGAAACTGGYTATATGTTACACACATTCGTCTTCCAAATACAAAGATTAAATAGGTTTTTCACGTTTGGATTTTTTGTTGTTACTTTGTTACTTTGTTTATGGTAAAAAAAGAGAAATCAAGGCCAGATGCCAATTCACTGTAAGGACTTTCTACTAATACAGTTGTGCCTTCCCTCTGTTTGAAAAGCATTTTCTTGCTATTTATCATCATGCTTCTCTTTCCCTTGGAAAGAAAAAAAATAAAGCCCACTAAATCCTCAAGCAGTAAGTCATCCTAATCCTGTGGAATTTCAGGTGTCAGACACATTTTGCAGTAATAGCTGGTGCTATTCATGGATCATGTTTACGTGCTACAGCAGATGTAACARAAGTCAATTTGAGGCAGGTTAAGATGTTTGTGTCTAGCTGCTTTTGTGTGGCTGTACACAGATGCTGATTCTATTTCTCATGCCTTCTATGTTTCTTTTGATTGGTTTTAGACCACTTGGGCACTAAAAATGACAGCTGGATGAAGTACCATAAATATGTCAGGAGCCACCAACTACAGCACCTTGAGCATTCAATAATKGCAGACTTCCTTCAGCTTTAACCTCCATCATTTAATCTTTGTGTTTGAGAGCTGACTTGCACTACTAACTGCTGTACCTCTAGTTTTGTTTGACATTGGCCTGCCTGTAGTTCTCAGAAAGGCTGGGATTGGATTTTTAGCCTCAAACAGAGACATTACTGAAARTCTATTTGTTGTGTGTGATGAAAGCTTGGAAAATTTGGCTCAGTTGTGGTCTTTCTACTTCAAGCTTTTCGCAGCGAAATTTTCTTTGGGTCAGAAGAGCATACCCGCAAACCCTGTTGACACTCCCTCACATGATCTGACTTAGTGATTTCTGTGGGACAACTTCTCATGCTGGATGATGAAGTTCCATTTGCAGAATCAAAGCAGGAGTGAGGTGAAAGGCTGGCAGAAGTCAACTGTGAGGCAYAGTCCACAGAGGTGAACATGTACTTGGGAACTTCTAGAACCCTTTGAAATGCCTCTGTATAGAATTCACAAGGGGGCAAAAGGGATAAATCAGTTGATGGTAGAGTTACTCTGAYAGCTCATGCAAACACAGATAGTGTCCTTCAGACAGTGTCTTTCTCCATGCTAGAGGAGTTCCAGTGGTGAATCTGCTAGCTTGCACTAGCTGCACAAAAGGAAAATAATGCCCAAATCAGAGGCCCAAAAGCTGTTTCATGGCCAAGTTTAAGGAGCTGTCAAATGCTCACTTCATRAATTTGCCCAGGTTTGCCTGTTGATGAGAAAGGTGCACTGGGATGGGTGAACTCAGTGTGCAGTTTCCTCCCACAGACATCTCTTCAATGACCTCACAGACTATGATCAAGGACAGAGGCWCCCTTCTAAAGGTTTGGGAGTGCATGAGCCCTGCATCAGTGCAGGCTTAGAGGTTGCTCACTGCAGCCGATGCACACTGAATCCCGAGGTGGGAAAGCAGCAAACACCAGTGCTAGACACAGGGTGTGGTGCAGTGATCTTACCCACTGCCACACGGGCTGGCTGAAGGACAGCACTTGCCACCTTACATGGAGCACTGTGGGGACACTCGGAGAATCGCTGGGATGTAGGTGCCTGCCATGGGATGACGCTGAWCCTTGTGAATCCCCCAGCCAGGGTTATATGCCACTACAAGCCAGTGCAGTGCAGGCATGCCCTACTGGGCTCCSAGAAGGAGAAATTTCACTGAGTCCCCAGCTGCAGCCAGCCCAGCRCCCACTGCACAGGCAGAGCCMTGCTSTACAGGCCACCTGATCACTCCCTGCTGCCAGAAACGTCACTGCTCCACGTCAGCGTGATGGAAGCCAAACATTTCATGAGGTACAAGATGCACAAATGTTTAGTTGCCAAACTGCGGCTCTTGGCCGACTCTTTCCGAGTAAGCATAAGATTAATCCTGATTTTATTCACATGAAACACAGCTTTGGTAAAGCAAGGCCGGCATTTTAAACAAAGCCCTGCTATTGCAGTGAACCCAGCCAGCTCTTCAGGCAGTGCAACACTGCACGAGCAACAGCACCATTTTCTGAGGGGTTTCTCTTCTCCCTCTTCACCAAACCCATGTATCCAGAAGTTCCCTTTCCTCTCCTTCTCCCCTGCCACCCCCAACAGTCCCTCACCCACAGCAGTTGTGATACAAACCAGATGGTTTTCTTTTCTTTCTAGGAGGCTGTCAGAGAAATTACACTTGTCTCAGTCACCAAAGCTGTGTCACTCTGAAAGCAAGTGGTTGAGATGAAAATTATATTTCTTGCAACGTGCAGCATCTGGTGCACAGCTGTTGCGCTGAATGAAATACCAAGTTAACAGCAGCGTGGAACAGTTGAAGTTCTCCCCAAAGTAGTATTGCTGAGTTTCTAAATATGCCTCTTAAATTATACTCTGGTGAAAAATCAGTCAACCTCGATCTTTGCCTCTGTCTCCCTTTCCCTCGTGCCCCATTTCTGCTTCTCCATATTTAGCACAACAAAGTAATAACGAACAGCGTGGCCTTTCTCAAAAGCTGATTCCCACCTGCTTATTTACTACAGCAGCCTCTCAGTGTGGATTGTGCTGCTGGGTATTTTTGTTTAAATGTCTGCTGACTGAAGAGGCCCGGCATAGCGTGGAGGCTGCATTTGACAAAGCTGCTGTAGTGAAAGGGCTGCCTGCGTCACCTCCCACACTCACCCAACACCTGCACGCTGACAAATGAATCCCGAGAGCTCCCTTTGAGAAAGAAATAACTCACTGTGCCTCTACCTGGCTGAATGGCAATTAGCCCCCCTTTCTCACAAGGAATGTATGCTGATATGCTTCCCTCCCTAAATAAAGTTGCTAATGCTGCTGCCTCGGCTCAGACTCCCACTCCTGCCCTCTAAACTGCCCGGAGCTGACACCACAGCCAAGCCTGCCCTGCAAAGACAGAACTGGGATCTTTCAGGCTCCTTTGAAAAGGCTGTCTGCAATCAGGTCAGCCTACTCTGGCTTATAAGCAAAGACATTTCTCTCATTGCCAAGCAGTCTAGGAGTAAAAGAGGGGTTTGCGTGAGCAGAGGCAGCTCCTTGGGAAGGCTGCGAGGAGAGGAGGGAGTCTCACAAGTGACAGATGGAGAAAGAAAGCAGAGGGGGAGCTGTAGTCATGAATCACTGTAAGGGTATTTCACCAGCTGGCTGCAAAGATAACCAGACTGCACGAACGGGGGAAAATCTAAGAAGGAAATGAGAGTAATGGTGCAATGCTGCTGCARCTCAGTACCAGTGACAAGTCAAGGGATCAACACCCTGGGAGTTGTATTTAACTGCTTTGGACAGAGATGCTAAGTACAAGTTCCAACCCCTACAGATCTGCCCCAGTGCTCCTAGGATTTTGCTGAGGACCTAACCCCAGGAAAGATGACTGAAACAGGGAAACAAAATTCAGGAAATGTGTTTCTGGAGATGAGAATGACTGAGGGATGAAATGAATAGGGAAGATCAGGATGTGGGTGGGGGTTAAGCATCACTTGAAAGGGGATGCTGGGCCAGAGAAATATTTCCCTTTACCGAAATGACTTCTTCTCAAGGTTATAATAGGTCAATCTCTTCTAGYTAAACATGCTAGTGATTTTCCTTCCTTATGAAACTCCCTTTATATCCTCTTTTAGCAGTCGCCTTCTGAAAACAGCAGCAATAGGGTTTGCTTTTGCTGCAATCTTCATTTTGCCCTACTCAGCAAATATGAACAGGAAGGGACTCAGGCATCACCAAAGATAAAAATATTTATACTAATCAGGTGAGTTCCTAAATGCAAGAAACAGGGCAAAGTTCCTTTTTCTCAGGTTTTAAATCTCCTCAGCCACATTTACAAAGTGCTAATGAAAGGCTGAGGCTGTGCCAATGCACTTAGAAACAGGCATGACCATGACTGTTAAATATGAATAGGTTTGCCTTGGGATATGTCAGACTGAGGTTCAGTTCCTGAAGCACCAAATGTTTTACCCTTAAATGTTTGACTAGAAAAGAGTTTGGTGGTTTAGTCCATGTTTTTATGCTAGCACTTTCTGCACAYGTACTCGCTTTGTAGCTTTCCCGGCAGGGTGCAAACAGGGGCAAACCTGTTGCCCACAATAGAGCCCACCCAGCAAGACCAAATGCTGGTCAGACGTAGCAGGAGCCTGAGATGGAGGCAATTCCTCCCTCCTGCACGCAGACATCGGGGTGCAGCCACACAGTCACTGTGCAGAGTGGCTTCAGAGACTTCCCTTTTGGTGTCCCACAGATGCTGGTAGAGAAACAAGGAGCAGCTACGCCCATCTTCCCCTGGGACATTGGTTTCCCTCCTGTACACTGTGTTCCTCATAGCACAGCGCTCTAGCTTGCAGGACTGTCCTGTCTCTGTGTCTATGGCAGCCCTTCAAGGTGGAACTGTGCCAAGCCCAATGAAAGGGAGCCTCTGTGGTTTTGGAAGAAGGGTAACAAATCAAATCACAGCTGTATATCTACTGTAATATCCACATTAGTGTTACCTTTTACAGCCCTGCTCCTTAGACAGCCTGTGTGAGCCCTGAACGATGCAGCAATGCTTTTTAGAATGACTGTTAAGACAATTCCAGCAGATTGAAGAATTTTACACATAACTTGGTTTTATTTTAGTTCCTGAAGTAAGGGGAAAACTTGAAACGTTGCAATTGTATTGCAGATATCCCAACAGCAACTTTGCTGATTTCTAGCACATACCAGTTTTGCACACTGGGAATTCTGGGTCAGCTTTAGACAACGCAGAAATGGAGATTTTTGTTTCAGAAGAAACTCTGAATATGAACAAGCATAGCAGCTTTTCCTGGAGCTGTTCTGATAGTTGGTTTCAATAATTTGTATTTTGTTACTACACTTTATACAGCAAACATCCCTTGATTTCTCATATGGATATCTTGCAAAATCACAAAGCATGATGTGCAGCAGCTGGTGACTTTGGGAAAACAGGAAACTTCCCATATCACTATGRTGCCTCTAACTGAAATTATCAATTAGTAAATGTGACACTTAACTGGCCCTTATTAGGTTTGAGAATTAACATTCCATGAAAATAAATGGGAAGCAGTTATCACTTTTTGGGCTTAATATTTCAAATTGACTTCTGTTTCCAATTATCTTCTGCRAGATCAACCAGACTGAGTCAATCCATGGCTACCCAACATTTCATAGGAAAAACAGACTCTAATGATGTTTAAAAGGGATCTACCTAACAGCAAATTTATCCTTACATCAATTGAGGATGAATTTAGTTGTGCACTCAGTTGCTTGGCTGTCAAGCCTGCTCATGCACACATGCATCTCATAYTATTGAAGGATTGCTAATTTACAGCATCCAGATACACTAGAAAACATGGTGATAGTTAACAAGAAACACCCTCTCCCCAGGCAACCACGAGAGCATGTGTGTCTCAACAGACAACCCTCTACTTTTGGAGAGAAGAAAACAGATGGCACTTACCTCCGACAGCGTTACAGCGAGATGTCATTTCCCAGAGGACCAAAGCCATGGAATACACATCTGTTTGTTTGAAGGACTCCATGTTCTCCAGGTTCATCCTGGACTCCAAAACCTCAGGGGCCATGTATCTTGCTGTGCCAACCTACAGGAGAAGAGATTGGGGAGAGCTCATGAGCTGAAATTGCAATTCATGTTTTGGATTCCACTGTGATTTAACTCCAGCTTTCACAGAAACAGTGCCATTTGACATGTATCCAAAAATTCAGGCTACACTTGGCACAGGCTGTGTTTTCTGCTGCCAGGGGAATCTGGCATTGTCCCGACTACCAACTTACTTGCACCTCTCTTGGTGAGGAAAAAGAAATAGCCCTTTTTAGTTCCTTAAGCAAATAATTTTGACACTGACAAATTTTCTCACTCTTTGGCTTTTCAAAGATAAACTCTGCCCTTTGGGCCTGAARCAATTGCTGCTGACCAAGTGTCTTTCAGATGAGCAAGAAACRCATTGTATTATTTTGCACAGCATATTACAGTGTTAGCTGTTTCTTTTCATGGTAGGCTTAAAAGGAAAGTAAATGCAGGCTTGGGAGAAGAAAGCAAACACACAATTACTGAATACAGAATCACACATTTGATTCAAAACCAAAAATCTGCCCCTTTGGAAAAAACRTTCTCATAAACCTTATTCCTACTGAGCAATTTTCAGCAATGACTTTAGCAGCTCTGCTGAGATTTAGATTATGATTTTGCATTACAGAAGGTGAAGTTTAAAAGCCTGCTTTTATCACAAGAAAGGATTTAAGGAAGAGTTTTTAGATCACTCAACAACTGCTCTCAAATGTGAAACTCTTGACAGGGTAGATATGAAAACATATCCCCCTTGAAAAACTGTGAAAAAAGTTTTTCATCAGGCAAAGACAGCTTCAAGCTGAAGACTGGTTAATCACAGAGATGAAGAAACACAAGTGGTTGGTGCAGTAGGATATATGATTTAAACAAGCTGTTTACACTACAGCAATCACTCCAGAGCCCAGAGACAAGCAGGGCTGCAAAAGACCATTTCAGTTACTGGGTCTGCAGTTGCAGACGGCCACAGAGTAAATGTACGGTCTTGAGGGAGCCCTATGACATCCGTTTTATAAGCTTCTGTAAACATGTCTTATCACCTCAGGCTCAGGGCAAATGGGAAGATGTTCCACAAAAAGTGGAAAGAATCATAAGAAGATGCAAAGATCAAGAACATAGCTTTGTCATAGGACCTTGAAACAGTAAAAATCCTGTGTCAAAAATATTCGAATGGTTGTAGGATCAAAGCCTTTATAAACAGAGGACAAGAACAAAGATCACTGTGAGCAGTYTCAAAGTTAAGTTCCCTGCTACATTGACACTGATTAATTTAAGGCCAAGCATGTGAATAGCAGTTACACACTGAAGAGGTACTTGAGACTGTCACCGAGGTGAGCACCAACTCCCTTCCCTACACAAGATGTACATGCRGAAACTCTGAAACAGAGGTTGTTGCTACCCACCATTAACTCCTCAGCACATAATTCTTTCCCAAGTAGATCCYATCCAAAGTTTGAGAATGTTACCTGTACACATGACCCACCCCTGCAAACCTTGCTGATTTTAACAAGAATTAATGACACCTAAATACAGATCCTTGACATTGCCACAAAGTGCTGTTCTGGTCTGGARTTTCATATTCTCTTTACAGAAATGGAAATGATTCTGCAGCTTTGCTGGACAATGGAGGATGAAGCCCTGTATCTAAAATGCACAGAGGAAAATGCAGAGAAAAATGAACATGACTTGAAGAGTGCTATCAAACCAATCCTATATCCATCCTGCTTGGAATTCATCCGGTGTTCTATTCTGCTTACGTCCTTTTATCTGCATTTAAATTATTAGGTCTTTAGGTCAAAGACACTTTTCCTGTATCTTGAAAACATGTGACTCCTGAGTCTCAAAGAGAGGTACCTGACCTCTGGCAATTCAGAGTTGGTTGCCCCTCTAGGGTCTGGATATGCTTTTTCTTTGCAAAYACCAGTCTTCTTTCAGTTCCTGATTTTCCAAAACTTCTAGCGAGGGACCATCTTTCTTCCTGCACTGCATTATCATTTTTYGTGACATGTGAATCTTTTTGTATCGGAGATCTGACACTTCTTTCAAGATGCTGAGAGATGTTTTATGCCCTGAGGTATATCAGTCAGAGAGGCAGTAGATAGTTCTCTTTATCTGATGTGGGAAACCATCTATTACAGGGGTGCTGATGCTGCTGAGGTACAGAATTGCTGGCCTTGCAGGCACCCATCACTCCTTTGAACACAGTGGGAGGAAGGTCCAGATTTATACGGACACATTAAATAATGTCTGTAGACAATAACCACCACGGACTGTCATACTCAAAAGACTGTAAAATGGAGAAAAACACGGTTTCCAGCCTAAGGCCCTTCACTAAGGGTATTGTAGTCAAAAATGGGTATATTTGCATGATATGGAAGGTAGTTGGGTAGAYTGGAAAGAAGATGGCTTTGTAATCCCAACAACTTCAATATTAGTGTCTAAGGATGACCATAAAAAGAGCTAAATACTTGCACTCTTATTTGTTTATTAGAAAGCTAGAGGTTTCCTTGAATTAAAAATTGGGTCAGCTCTATTACACATRTTATAAAACTGAATCTCCTGGTGGGAAGGGTTTGAGTCAAAGGATAAATTTTAGATGTGATGTGTAAGGCAAATTCTGGTGCAAAACATCTGTAAAAAGAGCTACAGCACTGAAGTCAGCATTTGGGGAATTTAAGTGGATTGCTCTTGTTGCCCAAGAAAGAACAAGRCAGAGGCTGAAGTGGAGTCAATCCACACCACCATAATCCTTGTCACAYAGAAGAATGACACCAGCTGGGTCACCCCCAAACAGATTCACTGAAGCTAAACAAAGCAGAACAGTGGGCATCAACACCAATGCCCAAAGACATCAACTCCAAAGCCATAACCTATTCTGGACAGCCCTGTACTTTGTCACCAGTGCTGATGTGGACTGTGGATGTGACAGTATCAACACTGTCCTCCTGCTTCCAAGTGACTCTGAGCAAWKCCACAGAAATCAGCTTCAATAAGGRTCAGCTTTAAGCAAAGCATCTGTGGGCGATGACTTTTGGAGCCTTTGTTTTGCTTAGAATAGGGTYAGTCTTCTGACTGTCAATATGGTGTGACTTCACTGAACTTTAGAGATCTGGCATGCTGGAAAGAAATCATATGTAACTGAGTGTTACATATATGCTGTAGTGTGTAGTATTTTAAATATGTTTGTAATATTTTAAATATGGCCCCACTGGTTAATATGCACTCCTGGCTCTGCTTAATAAATCTTCTAAAAATGAGATCAGGACAGTTAGCTTGTTATTGCTTTTCAATAACAAGACTTTCAAAGGCAAATCTGCATTTGATAAACAACAGTAAAGCTCCTGTGAAYTCGACAGAGCACTACTAACTGAAGAGATGTCCCTGAATGTGCTCTAAGCAAAAATACTAGTTCCRTGTGAAGTAAAAGTCAGTATAAATGGACAAGCTGTGATGTGACCTATGCATAAAAATATAAATATAAAAATACACATATAAATATATGTATAATTAAACTATTAAGAATTAATTAACAAATGGTCTGAATTTTTACTATGGGAGTTTTCATTAAAAAAAACAATATTTTGAGATGCATGCAGTCTTCAAAGCATTCACTAACATTCCACTGGCATCCCTGCCAAGTAGATGAGTACTATCCATGCTCCTTAGTTGAAAAAACACAACAGGGCAATTATTTTTATTTGATATTCTTGTATTTGCTTACATGTGGAAAATGTACCATAATGTTAAAGAGATTTTTTTTAMATTTTAAAATGATTATTTAACTACTGATTTTGAAATTAAAATCACTTTTTTGTCCTCARCCTTTTGAGGACACATGACTGACTTCATATGTGCTGGGGAACATTAGGATTCAGACTAGTCACACAAAAGTGTAATGCCAAAAGGCATGAAAACTGCCAAAACATCACAGCATGAAGCAGATCCTTATYGTATTTGTGTGTGTGTGTGTGTGGATTGCAGCAGCACCACGAACAGTTGCTAACAAGCTCATTCACGCTTATATAAGTGAGAGGATGGTTGCATCATATACCCGTGCAGCTCTCCAGTCATAACAAAACTTACATTGCACTTCTCTCATTGTYGCTTTAATGTTTAGAGCCTCCTTGTTTACAAACACATTCACATAAAYTTTTAAGGATTTTAAGTCAAAGCTTAAGGTCTTTTCATCTTTTCAGYCCAGGAACTGACAGCTGGCAACTGGTACATTACCCTCCCACCCCTCTGACCTTCTAACTCACCTGTCCACTGTTGGCCAAGTCATCCACAGACAGGGAAGGGTCCAGCCTCAGGGATAACCCAAAGTCACAGAGACAGCAGGTTAAATCATTTTTCACCAGGATGTTGGAACTCTTTAGGTCTCTGTGTACAATAGGTGTTTTGGGACGACCACAGGGTGTGTGATCACTGTGCAGATGTGCAATCCCTCGGGCCAAGGACCCACCCAGTTTCCAGAGGTCCTCCCAGCTGATAATGTGCCGTGTGAGATACTCCTGCAAGTTTCCTTTAGCATGGAAGGCAGTGATCAACCAATACTGTTTACCAAGATCCGTCTTACGCTCCTCTGCTGTCAAGAACTGCAGGATGTTCTCATGCTTGAGGTTTACATCTGAAAAAATGTCTTTCTCAGTTTTCCAGGAAGCATATTCTTCATAGGGGAAAATCTTGACTGCCACAGTTTCATACTGCTCTGATGTGTTTTGCTTCAATTTGGCTTTATACACTTCAGCAAATCTTCCTTTGCCAACAACGATGTCCAGCTCAATGGGCAGCAGCTCTGTGTTGTGGTTGATGTTGTTGGCACAGGTAGAGCTGATGTCTGAGCGGTCATCATCTAACATAATGGCACAGACATCACTGCAGTCCTTATGCTTCTTGGGCTTAACATTCTTCTCCCATGCCTTGTTGAGTTTCCTCTTCTTATGAGTTCGGTAGGCATAGAAGATAACAATCACAGCAACAGAAATCACCAGCAATGGGACAAGACTTATGATTGTGACTTTGGAAATTTCATCTTTCTCCTCTGGTTTATGAGGGTCATCTGTAAAGAACAGAAGGAAGGAATATATGAAATTACTTAATACTTTTACGTGTACAGGAGGTTGTCAATGATTATAATTTTTATCCAGAATGCAATACATTATCTTCTCCAGTAACAGCAAATAATACAAATTTTCACTGCTTTCTTGCTTCAAAATGTTGTTTTGTATATAGACCTATGTTTACTAGGATTTGCCTGTCTGCTTATTTTGTAAAAAGCCAGAACTGAATGAACAAGGAGCTAAYGTAATTAAGTAGCTTTGTTCTTCTCTCAGCCTTTTAATACACTATGGATGAAACCTTCACTTTCATGAATATAACAGTCAAAGTCTCCTGTACTTTGTCAATGTACTCTGGATGGAATTCCTCCTTTAACCACKAATTACTGGAACACATTAATTTTTCTATAAATAAGTAGAAAATGAAGCCTGTGAACTCCCACTTGCCCAGTTATTACTCCAGATCCAGAATAATTTAGTAGGATCCCTGTAAAGCCACCTTCAGGAAGTCTGTTCACACACAGTATRACAATATTCAGGCACAACATGTATGCAAGCATACAGACCTGAAAAACAAAACTCATTCCCATGCTTTGATGCATGTGAAAGAGTGCTGCTAGAACAAATTCAAACACCTGCATGTAAACAGGCTCAGAACTGTCACCACCCCTTCCAGGTATTTTTGCATGGATGTCTGTGTTGAAACACTTCCTCTGTGTGTTCCTTGCTGGCTGTACACTGGTTTTCTGCTGTAAAGAAAGATGTGCACTCCAAACTGCATACYTGATGCAGTGCACACCCCAACATGTTCTTAGGGGGAATATACAGGGAATAGAAGAACACGGTTGTGTTCTGGGAAAAATGTAGATTATTATCCTAGAGGTGAGAGCTGCCCTGTCACCTATAAAAACTAGCTTCTATTTCAGTTACTTCTTAGGGAAGATAAACAGTTTAAAAGGGAACAGTTTTGTTCCAAAAAGAGATTAAAGGAGGGCCAGGGTTTATCTGAACCTGATTTGATCGAACACATGGAAGTTTACTCGCTCCGTCTCTTTCTTACTTTGAGTCAGATAAAATGTACTGTATTATCTTTGCATGAGGGAGGGGATTATTTGGAAGGAGTCCTGGGAGCCCAACCTGAACAGACTAAAACAACTGAAGCTGCAGCCACAGTGAAGCAAGTGGCTTGTGTTGGCAGCACAATGCTTGGGCGGATGCTTACAGCCATGTCATTGACTCAGGCTCTRTGCATCAGGCCAAATAAGTCAATGTGGAAAGGAAAAGTTTAATAAGCTCTAAAGGGAAGCTGTTASTAACTACATTAGCCACAAGCCTCTGTTTCCCCTACTCTGTGCCTCTCAAAACAAAGGCCAACAATGCTAAAAGGGATGAAGGAAAAAAGTTTACAATTAGAACAAGCAGTACCTCTGACCCTCCAATTTCACTTGTAGTCACTTCTACACTGTAAACCCACCTGGCAAGCAGCAGGAGCCATCAGCTATTCAAAGGCAGGTGATAGGACATCTGAAAAGTATATTCTTTTTATCTGGAAAAAGGCTTGAATCCTGAACCAGGATGTGCTTCCTCTGTTAGAAAGGTTCATCAACCAGATGCAAGCGAGTAATTGAATCCCAGCCTCTCTCATAGGGTTTCAAGGAAGAGGAAGTGCCTTTCTAGCTCTGTCATTCCCAGCCCAGCATAGGTCAATGACATGCACTAGCAGTACCTACAAAGAGTGTATTTCCTCCATTGATGCAAAAGAACATTTTAAGGCAATCCCTCCTTCCAGACCTATGCAAACCACAAATCCTTATTCTCCAGTGATTTCGCTTGACAACAAAAAGTTAGTAAAATTAAAAATTATTAAATTTTAAATCAAAACAAGACTTAAAAGTTCAGCACAGATTAAAGGCAACTCTTCTGCTTTTCAACACATTGAAAAGGGGAAAAAACCTCTGTGTTTTTATGGCTTTTAYGGGAGGAATATATTTAGAAAGTCAAATGTCACTGCCAGTAAATAGATTTGCATTGCTTATTCCCATGTGCATTCTTTGCTTTTAGAAAACCTTCTTTATTAAGAACTTGGCAACACCCTGGTGGAGGAGAACTGACTGCATTGTAGGATGGCTGTTTTGGAGTTTTGGCTGCAAGCAGGTCACAACTACATGACAAAACTATGACCTGTAACAATCAGAGAAAATAATTTTATTGAATATTTGGGCTTCTGTTTTGCTGGTTTTGGTTTGTCTTGGTTTTTTCTTGACCACAGAAAAGTGCTTGAAGTTTGGACTCTGCTCTTGAACATAATATGTCATCTATATCAGATGGTATACTGTTTCACAAAGATGAACATGTTTCTTTAGGGCCTTTTAGGCCCTTTTTCTTTGCCACAGAGCCACAATTTGTAGACCAGATATTTGAAATACAAATATCTTTCAAAATGAGTGACAAAAGGCCCAACATGTATTAGCTGTCTCTGAAATTGCTCCCCGTGAGTCCAAGCAGTAGGAGGTAGCTGGGTGCATGTTCAGCTCTAACTGAGAAGAAACACCCAAAGTCCCTGCTCCTTTATTGTGTGAAGATCTCTKATCATTCCTACAATGTCCTAGAGCAGGCTACATTATTTTGCTTTACAGCTGAGAACTTTCTAGCAGAGTTCATAGCTCCTTCAGCTCTTCCTCTTTTTGCACCAGATAAAGCTCTGCTTGTGGTGCAGGGGGATTTCTGGGTAGAAGGGAAAAAATGTTGATGTTGCAAATGTTACTTGAAAAAGAATGTAAAAAAAATTAATCAAAGCAGAAGCTGAGCAGTTTGGCCACTTCCCTCTGAGCACTGTCTCATCCTGCACCCCTGCTGCAAAGTGGCACATCCTCTTTGGTGGCTTGGAGGAAGCAGGGAGGCAGGGGGTGAGCAGCATACAGCTGCACATCCCCACCTAAAGCAGCAGGGACAAAGGCTGGCTGTGTTGATTTTCAGTATTTGAGACACGAGGCAAATCCCACTCAGCATCTGGGAAGTGCAAGAATGAGCACACATCAGGGAGAACTGAGTGTCAGGACTCATGAGGCTGAACTCTAAGCTTAGGAGGGGACCAAGCTGCCTGGCAGGAGAATTAGAGAGGATAGCCAGAGCAAAGAGCTGGTTGCCCTGAGGCATGTCCCGAGCAAGTCACTTCTGGAACTGCTTTTGATTTTGATATGAAGAGAATCAAATCAGTCATTCCAGCACAAACTAAGGATGGGGTAGAATTCCCTGTAGAATCTGTGAACAAAATCAGGGCAGGATCAAAATTCAGAGCATAGCTGCATGTTTGCACAATGACTAGCCAACACTTTATGGCTTGACTACAGAAATCTAAGAATAAATACTTTCATTTATAAATAAATACCTATGACTGAAACCTCTTAATTAAAAAAAAAAAAAAGGGAGTGCAGCTTCCTCTTTCTGAGCATCAGAATGAGCAAAACCTGGCTGCACAGGCAAGCAAGGAAATGGTTAAATGAAACAGCCTYTTATGTTTTGCAAACATGCTCCTAAATAACTTTCCCCACCCAGAACTATTATTTGGGTGGATCAGTCCTTTCTTAAGCTTCAAAAGAGCCTATTAATATAGCATAACAATAGAGAAGTTGAGCTAAAAGAAAGCTTCCTGTATGTGGTTTAAACTAAGCACAAACCATCTGCATAACCCTTAACACTGCCTAAGCCTTGAGGGAATAGGTCTCAGGTGCCAAGGAAAATGGAAACACTGTACAGACCCTGTTCTGTCAGGGAGCTTCAAARCTCAAGAGCCTGCAAATTCTTTACCTTTGTTTGCATGCCTTTGGTAAAACTTCGGTGTCACTGAACTTAGGAAAGAGCAAGTAAAACAATGGCAATGAAATGAGGACACACACTTGAATGGCAGGGCAGCAGAATGCCCAGCCAGGACTGACAGAATTACTTCCTTGCTGTCTGCTGCTCCTGTGAGCTCTAAAGTGCTGCCTATTCAACTGCTAATCAAAGCCACACAGCAGGGAAAGAATATATTTGATATTAGCAGAACTCAAATATATTGACACTGATGTATTACAAGCCTGTGCTGTGCCTTAAAAATTCCCAGAGTTACAAAGTCACAAAACATGGTCCCAGACACAGAACTGTGTTCTAGTTATTTTGCAAGATCCCGAGACACAAAGCAGCCCTTTTAGCTGACTGAAGGAAAACTCCATTTTGTAGAAATTCTGAGGTTTYAAAGTTTGATTTGAATTCCACACTGGAATGAAAACCAACACTTTCTGAATGCTTTTGCCTGAACAGAATTTCTGTTCAAATGTTGCARTTTGGCAAGAGATGTATGTGAGTGCTGAATCCCCAGCAGTGAGGGGACCAGTATGGGTGGGGTAAGGGAGCTTCAAGTTCAAGACCTTCTCTGTTTGAAACAAGGGACTGCTTTTYACAAAATGGAATTTTAACCTTGCATGTGTAGTGAATTCTGAGCAAGACATTAGGTAAGAAAATAGGGGAAAAATCAGCCCATCTCTTGTACTTTCTGGATGAAAAGTAGCTCCATTAAATGCTTCACTTTCAGTGACATRAAATTTACTCTGAACAGCTGTTTGGGGTAATTTAGTTCATCTCTACTGAAGAATYCTCAAGTGGGAATGAAATTCTATAGCTCATTGTCTTATGTACCYTCCTGATTTTGGCCTTTTTAGAATTAAAATGGCTTGGCAATCTTCAGCAATTTGTTTTTTTGGTGGGAAATGTTGATTTTCAAAACAGAAACTCTGCTTCTGACATTACTTTTTTTCTGAAACCCTTATTTTGAGGATAAAAGTGGTCTGAAAGTTGATCCAACTTTTTAAAAACTGCTAGTTTTACAGGCATTTTTGGGGGGCGTTGTGGATGGGGGATAGGGAGCTTTTTTACTGGGGGTGGAAGGTGTTTCCTTAGGAAAATGGTTGATCCCGACACAAAATACTTGGTAATAATAAAATTMAAATGCCRCACCTCAAACTAA